AGTCTGCTGTTAGGGACCTCTCCAAAGTGCTGAAGAGCAGTGGTGTCTCTCTGGAGACTAAGGTGCGTCTGATACAGGCCATAGTCTTCGCAATCACCTGTTATGCATCAGAGAGTTGGACAATGACCAAGGAGGATAGAAGGAGAACTGACGCCTTTGAGCTGTGGTGCTGGAGAAGAGTACTGAGAATACCATGGACTGCTAGGAAAACAAATAGATTTGTCCTGGAAAGGGTTAAACCGGGTGGCTCCTTGGAGGCAAGGATTCTGAGGCTCCGTCTAACTTACTTTGGACATGTTGTGAGGAGAGACCGGTCCTTGGAGAGGGACATCATGCTTGGGAGGGTGGAGGGACGGCGCAGGAGGGGAAGGCCCTCTATGAGGTGGATTGATTCAGTGACTGGGATAATTGGGATGGGAGTGTCAGAGACAGTGCGATTGGCACAGGACAGAGCGGAGTTTAGGGCTGTTGTACATAGGGTCGCTATGAGTCGCAGGCGACTCGACGGCACATAACAACAACAACAAGAACAACATTTCACTGTTTAAAATATACATCAAGAAAATGAGAACTGAGAATCAAACGGAGACTTGTACCCAATGTTCATAGCAGCATTATTCACCATCGCAAGAACATACAAACAGCCCAGATGTCCAATCACAAATGGATTGTGAAGTTATGGTACACTCCTACAAAAGAATACTACACAGTACGCAGGAGCAATGATTTAGTAAATTGCTTCCTACCTAACTTGGAACGGACTGGAGAGTATTTTACTGAGTGAACTAACTCAGTCCCACAAGGATAAAATTGGTATTAAACCATTATTGTAGACTAAGTATGACAGAGTTCTAGTGGCCTAGTGGCAAGAAACTGCACTGCAATCATGAAGGCATGCAGTTCAAGGCCACCAGCTGGTCCATGGGAGAAGGATGGGCAATCTTCCCTGCTATTAACTGCCTCTGAAAACCTGCTGGAGAGTCAGCTATGGGTCGGTTCTGACTCTGGTACACAAAAACAAATGAGGATCCCAGGAGGGGACAGTGGAAGCAGAGGAGTGAGGATGGGCCGTGGGTGAGATATTAATGGTGGGTTGATAGGTGGGTGGGGGTGAAGAAATGGGAAAGATCTTTTGTGAAAAACAATGTATTAAAACTTTGTAAATAGGGAGCTCTGGTGGCTTAGTGGCAAGACGCTGCACTGCAATCCCAGAGGTACGCGGTTCAAATCCACCAGATGCTCTGCTGGAGGAGGGGGCAGTCTCCAGTCAGATATGATTTGACGGTACACGTAAAAATAATACAATAAAAGTTAAAAAAAAAACCTTTGTAAATAAATAGTATAAAATAAAAGGCGACTCGATGGCACATAACAACAACAAACAACAAAAGCAAAGGATATGGAGTTTGAAGACAAAGGTTAGTTCCACCAGACGCTCTGCCAGAGAAGGAGGCGTAATATCCTCCTGTACCAGTCAGATCTGATTTGACGGTACATGCACACAAAATAATAATTAAAAAAAAAGAAGAAGACAAAGGTTGGAATCCTCAGTGGTTAACTCTTTTAGGAAATAATTTAGTCTTGCTGTGAAGGAGAATGCAATGTAATCAATCATTTAGGTAACTCAACACTGATGCTGAATGGCCAAAAATACTGATTTGAAATAGTAGTCCTGTGAAAAAGAAAGTATTCGAGCTTTTAAATAAACCAGTATATAAAATAACTTTTATTTAAAAACAAACAAAAAAAGGAAAAGGTATTGATGTCTGAGTATTGACTATACCATGGACTGCCAGGAGAACAAACAGGTTCGTTCTAAAGAGGGTAAAACCAAGCTCCTCCTTGGAGGAAAGGATTCTGAAGCTTCTTCTGACATACTTTGGACATGTTGCAAGGCAGGATCAGTCCTTAGAGAAGGACGTCATACTTGGCAGGGTGGAGGGACAGCACAAGAGAGGAAGACCTTCGATGAGATGGATTAATTCAGTGACTGGGTTAATGGAGGTAGGTTTGTCAGAGACAATGAGGTTGTCACAGGATAAAGCAGGGTTCAGAGCTATTATATATAGGGTTGCTATGAGTTTCAAGCAACTCAAGTACACACAACAACAACAAACAACAACAAGTGGGTAGGGAGTTGCGCTCTTAACCCAAATACAGAAAGTTCAAATCGACCACAGATTTGCTGCTCCAAGGGAGGACAGGCAGTCTCCTCCCAGTGATTTCCTGCCTCAGAAAGCCCACTGACAGGTCTGCTGTGAGTGGGTTCTGACTGGATAGCAGTGGGTGAGTGTGACCGCTAACCCCTGGTGATGCAGCATGCCGTGTGTTGGACTGCCAACTGAAAGCTGGTGGTTCGAGTGCACCAGCTGCTCCATGGCAGAAAGATGGCGCGTCTCTTCCGGTGAAGACAGATGACCTCGGACTTGGTGGAGGGTCACATGAGTGGAATCCACTGGATGCGGGTGGGATATACCTGTGGACATGCCTCCTTTGTTAACAGGGCCTTCTTTGTTGTTAATGAGGGCAGGTCAGCAGAGGACAGGTCCTAAACGGGTCACTGCAAAGTTAAAGGAGCAGCACAAACACAGAACAGCAAGAATGAAGGGGAGAAATAGACACCACTAGGAAACTGCCAAGAAACAGAGGCATGCCAGGGCCACAAAGAGACAGGACCGTCCTCCAGGGCAGGCCAAGGACCCTCCCCTGGATGTCAGCCCTAGATGAGTATGAGCCACGGGTCTGTACCACACGTGGTATCACTACTACAGCTGCAGAGAGGCCTAAGATGCACAGATGGCGCTTTGCTTGTTAGTAGCAGAGCTGGGGCATCCTGTTAGGAGGCAGCCATAGTCACTGTCCCCCATCCCCAGAGGCTTCCCTTTCCATGCTGTGCGTCAGAAGGTGGCTGTGGCTCTCACACGCCAGAAAGCCCAAGGACACTGGATGCTCAAAACCCCCTCCCACAGACCATTCTGTCTCTGTGGGTCTAGCTACATCTTGGTGTCCATAGTCACAATGTGACCAGTTCCAGATGTCCAGGGCCTCCTGGCTCCAGCAGCACAGCGAGGTACTTCCCTGGATCTGCTCTGCTTTGTTCACTGCACAAGTGTGTCCAGCACACACAGTACTTGACAGAAAGTTCCGGGCCTCCCCACTGCCCCTCATTCCCTACAAGGGTCACCAGCTAGGCTGCCTGCAGGTGTTGAGCAGCAGCATTCAGTCCTCCTCAGAGGTGCTCTGCTTGCGCTCTGTCTGTGGGTCCAGCCTGGGTACGAGTGGCCCCTGCTCATTGTGGCCTTTCAGAGTCTCCTGTTCACCCTACCTGCCTTTCCACTGGTGTCCACTTCTCCAGTGAAAGTGAACCCAAGAAGATGGCTAGCTGTTAGGGCCAATCGTAGGGGACCAATGAGTCCTTTCTGAATATAAAGAACATTTGAGAAACTTGTTGAAAGTGTCCAGGATCAAGTAGGAACCAGGCTGAAGTAAGCTCTTGGAAGCCCAAGCAGTCCAGTGTCCCCACCTGCATGTGACTCGGTGATGGGTCCTCTACATACCCTGAGAAGTGTGTGGTGCCTCCATCCTGGAGGAAGTGGCCTGGACAGCACTGGACACTTCTGGATTCCTGCGGGAAGGAGCTCTGGGCAGTGTCCCCAAGAGAAGGGGAATAATAGGTCTGGTGTTAGGGTTCCAGGAACCAGCAGGTCATAAGTAGCCCAGAGGTCCAGCACTGGTCTAGGCCAGGTGCCTAGGAGCTGCATGCAGAAGCCTGTGCCACCTGGCTGTGCTTGGCCAGGACCCAGCTGTGTTCACTGGGCCCCTCTCATCTCCACACACCAGCATAATCCTTCCTGCCTGCTTTGCATCCTGGAGAGATGTAGGATCAGGATGGGAGGCTCCATAGTGAAGGTCATGGGAGTTTTCAGAGAAGGAGAGGTGGTGGAGGTGAGTTCAGTCCACACTTGAGTCTAGGCTGAGTCCTCCACATAGACAGGAATGGGAGTCAGTTCTCCTGCACCAGCTGGAACTACAGGTGGCCTGTCTATACCAGGAGGAGTGGACAATGGGCTGTGGGGCGACTATCTATACTTTGGTCAAGGAGGGGTCCGTCAAATCTGTTGGGGAAGGGGGCGCTGTCTATACTGCCTGGATTAAGGGAGATAGTGTCAACGCCTGTGAGGGTTGGGAGGTGGCTGTGAGGTGGACTTTGGGTCAGGAGGTGGACACCTACCCTGCTGGGGGAGTATGGGTCACACCAGTGAGAGTTAGGGGCAGCTGTCTACACTGGCAGGGAAGGGGGCGACGACCATCTACACCAATTGTGTGAGGTTAGGAGTGGCAGTCTACACTCGGGTGAGGGATGGAGTGGTGGTGGCATCTACACGGGGTGGGGGTGAGAGGGGGGCAGCTGTTTACACTGGGGTGGGGGATGGAGTGGTGGTGGCATCTACACGGGGTGCGGATGAGTGGGGCAGCAGTCTACACTGGGGTGAGGGATGGAGTGGTGGCATCTGCACGGGGTTGGGGTGGGAGTGGGGCGGCCGTCTACACTGGCGGGAACTGGGCTGGCGTCACTGGAGAGGGAAAAGGCAGGCCCGCAGGGAGAACAAAGCTACAGCCGCCCGCCCGCCGGAAGGAGGAGTGTCCGCGCGTCCCGCGGGCGCCACCAGGTGAGGGTGTCCGGGACCCTGCGAAAGCGAGTCCACCTAGTTAGCACCCCACCTCTTGCCCTGGAGGCCGCAAGCTCGGGACACTCATGAGTGAGCGGAGTCCCCACACGGGTCCTTCGGCCACTTCGCCTCAGGTCCAGAAGTCCCGGCTTCCGCAGCAGTGACCAGAGAGGCGCGGCCTCCGGAGGACCCACCCCCTAGTCCGAAACCCGCGCGGCCTCACCGCCGGGAACGTGTCCGCCTCAAAGTGGCCTCCGCGCGCGCATCTGCAAAAGGTAGATTTTAAAGAAGCTCGTTTCTCTCTGAGGTTGGGACAAAGGCGGCGACATCATGGAGCGCGGGGAGCCCGCCTCGGACAGCGCTGGGGACGAGCGCGCGGACGCCCAGGTAGGTGGGACAGTGGGTGGAGTCGGTGTGGGGACCGTCGCGAGGGCCCGAAGTGGGAGGAACGGGGCGGACAGTGTGGGGACCATGGTGCGGGCCCCGAAATGGGCGGGAAAGGGGGGACAGTGTGGGGACCAGCGAGCGGACCCCGAGGTGGACGGGATGGGGGGACAGTGCGCGGGCTCCGAGGTGGGCAGGACAGTGGGGAAAGTGTGGGGACTATTGCGCGGGCTCGAAGTGGGCGCAATGGGGCGGGAGGGACAGTGTGGGGACCAGCGCACGATCCCTGAGGTGGGCGGAACAAGGGGGAAGGTGGAGGGACCAGCGCGCGGCCCCAGGTGGGTGGGACGGGGGGGGGGGGGGTCAAGGTGACGCCCTGGCAGGAGGGGGCCTGCACCTGGCGATTTACATACTGGGATTACCAAACTATGAAGGTGATGTGTTTATAGTCTAGCAACCTTTTCTATGAAACCTTATGAATATTCACGAGAAGAAATGCTTTTCAGGATAGATTTGGTTTTCAGAGTGTGAAGGGCAACAGAGGGGGTGGAGGCTCTGCTAGCGACAGTGACCATGGGTTACTCATTGTCTTAGAACTCACAGAACAACCCCACCAGGCCTGATGCAGCAGGCAATTTTTGTCCCGAAATCTACAGGTTTGCTTGGTGCTGGAATGTGGATGGGTTTGCGCGATGAACATTACCCCATAAACAAGAGGGTGGATTCTGGGCAAAGGCCCCTCAGTGAGGACTGTAGTCTCCTGGGTTCCTCTTGGTCTTGGTGTAGGACTAGATTAAAGGGTGTTTTCTGAGCAGTAATTACACTCCACTCCTGTTACTCAACAGCACTTTTACTTCAAAGGGGTACTTGGTACCTTAAAGTGCTTAATTAAGAATTAAGGCATATAATTTTAAAATTAACCGTACTGGGAGCTGTGCATAGGTTAGGAAATGGCAGTGCTGAAAAGGCTGGGTCTGGAACTCAGGCCCTGAGAGGTGGGATTGCACCTGGTTTTCCTGAGCCTGGGAAACCTCAGCTACTCTCCAGTTCCCTGGGGCCCTGGTACTGTTCTTGCAGTGCAAGCTGGTCTCAGCGCAAGGCTGTGTCTGTGTCTGGTGTGCACATGCACCGATGGGTGTGCGGAGGAAAAGTCCCGTAGGGAGGAGTCTTTGCTTAGAGTCAGGCCCGGTCCTGAGGGACCAGATCCATCTGACGTTACCTGTGACAGGAGGCCATCGGTGTGGCACTGTGAGTCCTAGTGATCTGCATAAAGACTTCATTACTTGTAACTCACTCCAGAATGTCTGGAGAAACACACTACATCCTGAACTTACTCTGAGGCTCTGAGAAATGTGTTCACAGGTCACCTCATTCCTCAGACACAGAACTGGTTCTTTCTTCTGACTCTGGCCACAGAGCTCAGGGCTGTTTGTAAAGAGTCTGTCAGGGTCCCATGGGTCACCTTTCCAGACAAAATCTTGCTTCCTTCTACAGGCAAGTTAAGATTTCCAACAACCTGTGTTATGCAGATGAGACAACCCTGCTTGCTGAAACTGAGGTCAAGGACTGCAGCCTTCAATGCAGATTGAAGCTCAACATCAAGAAAACAAAGATTCTCACCACTGGGCCGATTGGACCATCAGTATGGATGGTGAAGAGATTGAGATAGTTAACAGTTTTAGTTTACTTGGCTCCACAGTCAACACTCTTGGTAACAGCAGCCAGGAAATCAAGAGACAAATTGCATTGGGAAAGTCAGCTGTGAGTGACCTCTCAAGAGTACTGAAGAGCAACAATATCAGGCTGGAGAATAAGGTGCGCCTGATCTGGACTATAGTCTTTGCAATTACGTGCTATACATTGGAGAGTTGGACAATGAATACGGATGACAGAAAGAGAATCGAAGCTTTTGAGCTGTAGTGCTGGAGAAGAGTGTTGAATATACCATGGACTGCTAGGAGAACACACAGGTTTGTCCTGGAGGGGGTGAAGCCGGGATGCTCCTTGGAGTCAAGGATTCTGAAGTTTCGTCTGACATACTTTGGGCGTGTTGCAAGGAGGGACTGGTCCTTGGAGAGGGACATCATGTTTGGGAGAGTGGAGGGGCGGCAAAGGAGAGGAAGACCCTCGATGAGATGGATCGATCCTGTGATTGGGTGGTGGGAATGTGTGTTTCGGATTCGGCGAGGTTGGCACAGGATAGAGCAGCGTTTAGGGCTCTTGTACATAGGGTCCCTATGAGTCGCAAGCAACTGGACGGCACATAACAACAACAACAACACATGATGGGAACTCGGTGCATGCATGTTGACTGACATCTTTACTTCTCAATAATTTGGATAGGTCCGTCCTTGCTGGTACCAAGGACGTTTATTGTGGATCCAAGTAAGATGAAGTTGTTGACAGTTTCAAGCTCTTCTTCATCCACCATGTTAACTATTGGTCCAGTGGTAAGAATCGTTTTTTTCTTGACACTGATATGCAATCTTTATTAAAGGCTACATTCCTTAGTCTTCTGCAATAAGTACTTCAAGTACTCCTCACTTGCAGCAAGCAAGGGTGTGTTATCTGTGTAATGCAGAGTATTGACAAGTCTCCCTCTGATCATGATGTCACACTTCTCATCATAGAGTCCAGCCTCTCAAATAATTTTCTCAGTGTGCAGATTGAATAGGAATGGAGAAAGAATACAATCCTGATGCACACCCTTCTCAAGTGAACAAAGCAAAAGATTAGAATGGAAAGCACTGAGAGTTGGAATTGTAGAATAAAAATGGAAGAACTTGCTCTGCATTTCTCAAGCTGAAAGAATTAAAAAACAAATTTAAACCTCAAGTCACAATATTGAAAGATGCTATGGGCAAAATATTGAATAACCCAGAAAGTGTTAAAAGAAAATGGTGGGAATACACAGAATCACTGTACCCCCCCAAAAAAACCCCAAACCTGATTGATATGTAAAAATTTGTCCTGGAGAGGGTTAAACCGGGTGGCTCCTTGGAGGCAAGGATTCTGAGGCTCCGTCTGACATACTTTGGACATGTAGTGAGGAGAGACCGGTCCTTAGAGAGGGACATCATGCTTGGGAGGGTGGAGGGACGGCGCGGGAGAGGAAGGCCCTCTATGAGGTGGATTGATTCAGTGACTGGGATAATTGGGATGGGAGTGTCAGAGACAGTGCGATTGGCACAGGACAGAGCGGAGTTTAGGGCTGCTGTACGTAGGGTCGCTATGAGTCACAGGCGACTCGACGGTACATAACAACAACAACAACAACAACGATATAAGCAAGAGCCAATGGTAGTGAATGAAGAAGTGGAAGCTGCAATGAAGGCATTGGCAAAAAGAAAGTGCCAGGGTTCAATGGGATTTCAGTACACTTGTTTCACTTAAGAGATGCAGCCTTGGGTGCACTCACCAGCCTATACCAGGAAATTTGGAGTACAGCTGTCTAGCCAATGGATTGGAAAAGGCCCATATTTGTTCCCATTCCCAAGAAAGGTGATCCAGTGGAATGTGGAAATTATCAAACAATAGCATTAATACCACATACAAGCAAAATATTGCTGAAGATCATCTAAAACTGGCTTGAACAGTACATAGACTGAGGGATGAGAATGTGTATGGGGGGATCAATCATGGGGTTGTACAAATTGATGAGTAGTGGGGTGAGGGAAATCGGAGAATCTGGTGTGAAAAACAAAATAATGTATTCAAATTTTGTAGATAAACTAGTACAAAAACAAAACCACTACATAGATAGGAAACTGGCAGAAGTTCATACAGATTTTAGAAGAGGCCATGACACCAGGGATATCATTGCTTAGATCCTGGTTGAAAGTAGAGATACCAGAACAATGTCTATTTGTGTTTGCTTTATTGACTATGCAAAAACATTGACTATGTGGATCATAACAAGCTGTGGCTAACTTTGAGAAGAATGGGAATACCAGAGCACTTAATTGTGTTCATGTGAAACCTATACCTGGACTAGGAGGCTGTTGTGCAAACAGAGAAGGGAAACACTTCATGGTTTAAAATTAACAAGGGAGGGGACCTTACCATCACTCTGCTGCAAGACACCAAGGACTTTGTGGCACGGCCAGCCCAGGAGCACCTTCCAGCCACCGTTTCCCCAATGCCTGCTAAAGACTGTGGCCCAGCCCAGGGATGCTCACACCCTGGTCAGTGAAAGAACCACTGCCTGACAGGTTGAGGGGCTGCAGTTTCAGTGTGGCTCAGACCACAATCCTTCCTAGAGCACTAGACTCCTGTTCCTGCCACCTGGAAACCACCCAGCTGCCACCCTTGCTGTCCAGTGCCAGGAAAACCAAGTATTTTGGCTTTAAACACTGCTATCTAGCTACATCGTGTGGGATTTTTTAAAGCTGAAGCAGAAGAGGCTGAGCGGAACCACAGTTTCAAGAAGGCAACAGTCATCCCGCTCCGGGGATGCACCAATGTACAGGTCCTTCACAAAATATTGCCATACCCTGGGTCATTACAACAACCTAACTTCTACTAAGAAAACATTCACGTAATGTCAAGAAAGCAGCGGTCTGCCTCAATCATCAAGGAAAAAACAAAATAATAAACTTTTGCATTCCAGTCACCAGTTATCATTAACGCATCTTAACTGCATGTTGGCAAATTTTAGACTGCAAGATTTGGTAAAAATTATCAATTTCTTCCTACTTGGCTCCAGCAGGAAGGAGCATATATGAATAATAATAACAATAACAGGTCCTCCTTGTATGTGTATGGTTGTTTAGTGCTGGCAAGTAGAATAGGACTCATAGTGGTGCTATGAAAAACAGATCTGAACCCTGTCTTACCCTGCACCATCCTCACGCTTCTTGTCACACTAGAGCCCATTGCGGCAATCACTGTCAATCTACCCGGTCAAGAATCTTCTTCTCCTTTGTCGACCCTCCACCTTTCCAAACATCATGTGCATTTTCAAGGAACAGCCCCTCCTAGCAACATGCCCAAAGTATGTAAGGCAAAGCCTCATCATTCTTACCTCCAAAGAGCACTCTGGCTGTACCCTCTTCAAGACATATTTGTTTGTTCTTTTGGCCATCCAGCACCTGTTCAGTGCTCTTCTCCAACACCATAGCTCAAAGGCATCAATTCTCCTTCTGTCATCTTTATTCATTATCCAGTTCTCAGATGCATAGCAAGTAATGGGAAAGACCATGGCCTCAGTCAGATGCATCTTAGTCCTCAAACTGACATCATCACTACTCAATAATTTGAAGACATCCCTAACTGAAGATTTTTCCAGTACA